TTGAATTATTTTTTAGTATCAGGTTTTTTCCTGGTGAATCTTAAAGATCTCCACGTCCCTGAAGCTGCTTTAGAGAAACGCACCAGGTGAGCACTGCTCTGAAGTATTTCAGCCATCATGTTATTTTATTTGATATATTTTAATGTTGATGTCATTGTCTGTGTCAAAGTGAGACTTTTATTTTGAAACGGTGGAGTCTGCGTGTCCGCAGGCAGCTGCTGCTTCAGTCTGTGTTTTTCCCTCAGAGTGAGACCTCTGTGCTTTTGGACCCTTCTTCCTGTTCAGGTTAATGAACCAAACGTCACCTGTCGACCAAAGACAACGTGACGTCAGCATGTTCTCATAACATGTTTTCATCCTCTGTCGTGTTTCACTTTAACATCTCCGTGTTCAAACCAGAGTATTTTTTTAATGTGTTGACGTGCGAACATGTGACTCACGTTTCGTGTTTGCAACATGTGACGCTGCAGGTGGAGAAATAAAATTGTTTCACTAAATCAAGTGATTTTGTTTTTATCAGTTTCCTGTTTGAGTGCGTGTGCGTCCGTCCGTCCAGCTAAAACTTATGAGGCCAATTTTGGTTGCGTCCCATCATTGTGTCCTCTGTTCTGGACCCGGTGGGTCTCGGTTGTCATGACAAACTGACGAGACGTTTAGTAACAGATTTTATTTTTCTGAAAATAAACATCATATACATCATCGTCTGGTGATGATGATCCACCTCGTCGCACCTTAGCTCCGCCTCCTTTAGGACACAACGTGCTCCAGGACGCCCTGACGAATCAGCTGCTCACATTTCCACCGCGGCAGGAAGTGCTGAGGACACAGAGACAGACGGTCACGTGAGGACTTCCTGTAAGCTGCTGCACTTTGAACTGTCAGGTTCGCTGAATGTATTAAAAATCATTGAGTTGGTTCGGACCTGACTGTTCTTCTTCAGCAGAATCACCGTCCCGTCATCAATTTCAAACTCTCCGTGGTCCTTCAAACACCTCACCTGCAAACAGACGGGTCAGACTTTAGATGGACGTGAAGCTCTGTGGTTCAGGTCAGAGTCTGGATGTGGGTGGTGGCTTTAGAAGGTGTGTGTGTGTGTGTGT